AACTTAGACAACTTTAGTTTTTTGTATTAGATTAAGCTTGAATGTTACTTTACTGTGTCAAAAAATGATTACAATAGGGTAATTCTGAGAGTTGTGGTGATTTATTGAAATACCCCCCAAAACACCAGTCTTCAATGCTTGTGGCTGGTGAAAGGGCCCAGTCGCAAGTGAGTTAAGCAAATAAAAAAATTAGGAAGGTCATTCTTTCTTCTTATTTCCTTCTAAATTTTTGTCATCTTTCTATTTTTCTAACCACTGAAAAAAGCATGATTTCATTAACAAGGTTCACCTTCAGTTTGAGTTTGATCAATTACTTCTCCTCACTTGAATTTGGAATGTTTCTCTTGTTGATGAATTTATGTATCAAATTATCAAATGTTTGTATTGTATGTTCAACAGGACTGTGTCCTGACTGCTCGTACAAACTCAATTACCACCACAAGTAAGTACTGAGAGTGACATGTTTGTAAGGTTTTCTTTGTTTTTTAAATTGGATCTTTGAGTTTTATTTGAAAGGAAGCAAAGTTGAGAGAAAGAGTCCAGAGATATGATAAATCACTACTTGTTAGTGCACCATTAATCCTATTCGTACGCCCTGGGGTCATTTTGTACCCCCAGTGTTGTATTCTTCACATTTTAGAATACTTGTAGTATGAATTGAAGATCTCTTTGCAACTTTCAGCATTTCTCAAAAATATCATTTTGACAGACTGCTGTGCAAAGTGTACGGATCGGATTAACGAGTAAATTTCCTCTTTGGAAAGTGGTGGCACAGAGTTCCCCTTGTCATATGGATACGAAAATAAAACACAGCGTATAGATAGGGTTGAGATAATTTGAAATATATATTTGAAAAATAGCACGGATTTTAATAATACAGGAAGAGCCCCTCGTGCCTTATCAGTGGGTAAACTTTCACAGATTAGTAATTAATTTTTTTCCCCTGATTCTTTAAATTACTTTTTTTTCTTTGTAATAAACTCTTTAAGGAGAAAGGAAGTCTTGCCCAAATCCAAGAAGTCTCGATCTGCTCACTCATCCCTCGATGCTGGCAGCAAAAAGCAGAAAATGTCAGGTAAGTCATATACATGGGAAAGAAAAATGAATCTTTCGTGTCTTTATCCTCTGTCTTCCATAACTTTTACCTTTTTTCTATTTTACTCTAAATATATTATTTCACACATTATCTCTTTCATCATTCATATGACCTTATGTAGTTGGGAACGCCGTAAAACTCTTGTAAATCAAAACAATCCCCCCCCCCCCTCTTTTCCAAAAAGTTTGCCTGTGTTTTTCGTTTTTCTTTATGTTTGTTATGTGTTTTACCGGCTAGGTTTGAAGGACAATTTTATGACTGTCTGCAGGCCAGAGGGAGTTGTGGCCCATTCTGTGTTTGGATAGTTGACCCGAACATCTATTTTGAAATTTACCTTTGTGATATCTACTTTGGTTTTTTTTTTCATCACTGCTGTCTTTTCTTTTTTCTTCTTTACTCTCACTGTAAAGTCAAGCACTCTGCCTCCAAAAGGACCTGTGACCTGTATGTGTCTCTTAGGCTATTACATTCATACAAAAATGTAAAAGGTTCCAGGGTTTATGTTAGTTTGATTGTATAATAAATTAATTTATAGTTCATCCATCATGAACTTATGATGACCTTTAACATCGAAGGAGGAAGAAAAGTTACAGATCTTTCAAGCAAACATGGTAAAGAGGGTACTTCTTCCTCTTCAAGTTTCAGGTCTGGAGCAGACATTGATGATCTTGGTACCCCATTCCTTCTTGTTGCCTGTCTTCTTGATCAGCTTGTTTTTTTATGTTTGTGTTATTCTTTGCAAAGTTGTTCAGTCCATCTGTGTATGCAGTTCTTTGTCTTCATCTGCTCTTCTTTCTCTCTATTTTTCCACACAGCAGTTTCTCTAGTCCATTTGATCTGTTTGCATGGCCAAAGAATCTCAGTTGTCTTTTTCTGATGGTTCTGATTATGGATCTTTCACATCCTGCTATTTAGCACTTTTCTATTGGTCAGACCTTCTTATGACTTCACTTGTGACCTTCAAGTGCTTTTCCATTTTAGAAGAATTTCCCACAAACAGAGCACATGTGGCCTGTTGGGCCAGTGTTAGTGTCAAGATTTGACTGTCAGCTTTTGACATGTGTTTCTATGTGGTCCATGTCTCTATGACTTAATGAGCTTCTGTGTCTGTGTGACAGAGGCTCAGTGCCTTTTCGTGATCCTAACTCTTGCACTCAAAACTTTTCTTATGTCTAGATGCCTCTATGAAGGTATTGTGATTGTTGCACAACAGTTGAAAACTGCACCATGGATCTTGTTTGTAGTTCTTGCTCCAGTTGCTTTGGGCTTTCAATGTTCAGTCATGTGTTCTGTAATTGTGTTTAGAAGGGCTATGTGATCTATACTGTATGCTTTGTGTAAAATTTTCAGTCTTTTTCTGTATTCCCAAATTCATTTTGATAGAGTTTAGGTTCACCCTATTCATTATCATTATGACACCATATCTGTAGCAGCTGTTGTGATGTTCTGCCAAAGGTGCCATCAGTGTCAGGATGTGACGGAAAGAGCTGACTTCTAGAGTTCTTTTAAAATAATAAAATACCTTTATTTTGTTCTTCTCTGAAAGATTCAGGTGGAGCTGGCTCTTCCAAGGATTATGTGGATGAAGAAGGAGAGATCAAGCGTGGGGAGAAGAAAGGAGCAGTGGAGGGGGAGGATGGGCAGGAGGAGGGAGTTTGGAGCAAGCCGGTCAAGCTGGTGGAGGAAAAGTCGAGGTTTGTTTGCAAAATAATTTTGATATAATATTTTCATTGTGATTGTGTTAAGTATCTGAATTCCTTTGTGATTGGAAATTCAACTGGTAACGGATACTTTGATATTAGTAGACTGGTAGAGATTAGAGACAAAATGTGATCAGTCTTGCCTCATCCAGATTTGTCTTGCGCAGGGGAAAATTGAGTAGCAACCTATTAAATGTACAGCTCCAGCTGAACTGTATTTGTAAATTCAAATTGAAATTTTGTTCTAAATCAGAAGCTAGGCTATATGTGTCAGGGGCCCTGTAGACATACAGTTTAAAAAGGAATATTCAATATTTATCAGTCTTTGGGCCCCCTCACCATTAATGTAGACTTAAGAGCGAGTCTTGACAATACAAAAGCCACACTGGTGACACCAGATATTTGCAGACAGACTGAGGTGGCACAGTGCCTTTGAAGTTTCTTCAGGCGGTCTTAAAATTGCATTGTAATTTATTTCAAATATTAGCCAATACAACGGGGGGGGACAACCCAGTTTGACTGTATGTATCAATTCCTTTTTTAATTCAAGCTGTGAATACTATGCTCTGTATTGTCGCTCTTTCCCTCACCTCCTTTCCACTCCCAACACGATATGACCATTGCTGTATATGGATATTCTTCTCTTTAACTCTTTTAATTTACAAACTAGACAATGTTCTTTCTGTTTTGTCGTCTGCTTTCGTTTCCACTTTCTGCCCCCACCCCTTGACTTTCTTTGCTCCCTCCTCTAGGCTTCTGACTCTTTCTGTAGCCTTTCTACTTCTACTCTTTGGCTCCTTCTTACTGTTGTCTTTCAGCCACACCCCTGATCTTCTGGTAGGAAAGATCTACGCTTAGCCTTCTCGGACAAGGACAAAAAATCTTGGAGGTCCGGTGTGCAAGTTGCGCACGATTAAAATCCCTTGGTGGTCTAAAATCGATAAGGGTAGGCTTCGACCGCCGCCCAGGCAAAGTTCAAAATTTCCTACCAACTGAAAATGTTTAATGTGTCCCGCGCGCTCATATGACTTTATGTTATGCAGTTGCAAGCGCTGTAAAACACTCCCCCCCCCCCTCCCTCTCAAAAAAAAAATGTTCTTTCCAGTTCTGTAGTTTGAAATGCTCTCAGATATTTCTCAACCCTCTTTTGTTCTGTAATCTGACTGTGATCTGTGTCCCAATGAAGGTGCTGTTTTGTGAATTTTTTTCTTTTTTTTCTTGTGTTTCAGGGAGGATGAATATGATGACTACTTCGCAGACATGTTTTTATAGCATCATCCTTAGAGATAGCAAATGTCAGACGATGCTTGTGAAATGTGAGAGGGAAGAAGCAGCTGGTGGTTGGCTTATCCAGCTGTGGATAGCTGGAGGGAAAGTTGTGTTGCTATTTGGACATTTTATTGATGTTGCTGCTTCAGGTATTTTATGGAAAGCTATTAAAGCAGTGATGCATGAACGCTATGTTCACTGCATGCTGAGATTCATCTGCTTTATTAGTGCCAGTCAGTTTTATGACGCATTAGATGAAAGGAGTATTATGTCTCTTACAAAACTACAGATTGTTTCAAGAGGCGGTATGTGTGGATTGATGACAGTTTCTCTAAAAACACCAAAGTTTAGGATTGTACTTCATTGGATTTATGCTTAAATTTCCTGTGCCAATTGTACTAACTCTTCACAGTAATGATGGTTGAATTGTTTAGACAATGAGAATCATAATTTAAAACGTTGTGAAGAAACAAATGTGAGGCAGCGTGGTGGAATCAGGCTCTCGTCAATTTTTGGGCATGTAGAGTTATTGGTATCATCTTAAAGCGTGTTCACTTGTCTTTATTTGGATGAAAAAAATATCCATTTATCTTGAATACAAGTCGAGATATTTGTGAAAGAAGTAGGTGGGGTGACCTGTTTTCAGAGGTAAAATTAGTGAGAAAATGGCCGCCAAAGATTAGTTATTTCCTTAGCTTAAGAGTCCGTGGTAATTGAAAATTTACATTTTTTGTGCCTTTAATCAACTTTTTTCAGAAAAATCCACACAGAAATGAGTTTTTTAATGGGTAAGAAAGGTGTTGAGCCAAAAAACAAAAATTTGATAAAAATTCACAAACCTGCGGAAAAAGGCACGTTTCTTCACTTTGATTATTTTGACGAGAGCCTGATTCCACCGCGCTGCCTCACAAATGTCTTCAAAGGCACAGGTATTGCAGTGGAATCCACTTGCAATAAACCTCCATGAATCAGAATGTTGTATTTGTTTTAACCAGACAGACAAAAATCTTTTTAAAAAGTTGAATGTGTACTGAAGCTATTTCTTTGATCTGTAAGTTGAATTCATAGTTTTATGATGAAAGAGAAATGTAGGCTTCATTGTTTAGAATTCAATGTCTCAGAGGAGGATGCAATGAACTATTAAGCGTTTCAGTTTCAGGTTTTTTTAGGCATAAGAACTGTTTAGACATACATTGTTCCTCTACATTTGCTATGGTGGTATTTCATAGTTGTATAATAATATAGGGTAGAGCAGCTTCATCTTGCATGAGGAAAACAAAATTTACATGGTAGTTCCATTTTTCATTACTTTCACTCTGATTGCTGCATATGTGTCACGACGCTGTGGAATCAGGTGCTCGTTGTTTTTTTGAGTTGTGGAGTTATTGGTGTCATCTGTAAGCAGATTTATTTGCCTTGCTTTTAATGAAATAAATATCCATTCAGCTTTAATAGAACTCCAGATATTTGCGATTGAAGGAAGTGAGGTCGCCTGGTTTCAGTGGTGAAATGAGCGAGAAAATGGCAGTCTAAATTTGGTAACTCTAATAGCTAAAGAGTCTTTGAAAGCTGAAAAATTACATCTCTACCTTTAATAAATGTTTTTCAGTAAAATTAACATGAAAATGTGTTTTTATATGGACATAAAAAAAGAGGTTAGATTCTAAGCCAAAAAGTAAGAATTTGATAAAAATATACGGACGGAAAAATGCATGTTTCTCCGATTTCGTTATTTTGACGCGCCTGATTTCACCACGCTGCCTCATATATTGTCTTTAAGTTTAATTTTTTTAAAGCAATCATTTTGACTTCCTTGAGTTGATGTAATGGTTACTTCAAGTATCTTCTGATTTGAGTGTTCTGATACAATGTATGAAAGAGAGTTTGTGAAGAAAAGTTTTGATGACTTGTGGACATGTGTTGTATTGTGATGCAACTACCTTTGGTTATGCCTTAAATAAGGAATTATCAATGTGAGCTCTTTGTTATGATAAATGAATGGGATGTACCTTTAGAGAAAGAATAAAGTTCTGAAATGATGTTCTTTGCTTTTCCCAAATATTATTTCCTTATCAGTGTAGTTCTACTAGCCACAGTCATCCATAACCCAAGGATGACAGACCGACTTGTCAAGATATCCCTAATGCCACGGCTGTGTTGGGTTACATGTACACACAAGAACATAATATACTCTCAGTATATCCACATGGGTAAGCTCAGTCACACTCATACACACCCATCCATAAATGTGCTTTTCTTTTTTTTTTCTTTTTTTTCTCTCGTAAGTATTTTACAGCGCTCAAAAATGCATAAGGTCATGGGAGCGCATGGGACTCATTAAACATTTTCAGTTTGCTAGGAATTTTGAATTTTGCCCGGGTAGCTACCAAGACCTACTCTTATTGATTTTAGGACTATCAAGGGATCTTTAACGTGCGCAACTTGCACATGCCACCTCCAAGATTTTTTGCCCTTATCCGAGATGGTTAGATGTTAGAACTTTCCCCCATAAGATCGGGGGTGTGGTTGAAAGACAGAAGTAAGAAGGAGCCTAGGGGTAGCAGTAGAAAGGCAACAGAAAGAGTCAGGAGCCCAGAGAAGAGGCAAAGGGGAGGGGGTAAAAAGTGGAGACGACAGAACATGGTTAGAGTTGGAGAGCAGGTAAGGAGGTGAAAGGAGAACATTTCAAAGAATGAAATTTTCCTGTCGCTGTTAGGTTTCGAACCCGGGACTTATTGAATTGAATGAGTGCCCACACATGCACGCACGCACACTCACACGAACATACATGAGCATGCACACACACACACACACACACAC